ATCCCGAGAGGAGAATGGAGGAGAAGGGATTGCGGTGTGACCATCCTCCCTGGGGGTGGATTTCTCACTTTCTGTCTCTATGTCTCTCTCTGTCTGTCTGGCAAGCGCACGTGCCCTATAGCGAAAACCTCTCAAAAAAAATGCTTTTTTTTGTATCAGTTCATATGATTATATGGTTTTTAGTTGGTTCTTTTGTTAATATGATGTATTACATTTATTGTTTTCTATATGTTGAATCATCCTTGCAACCCTAGGATAAAGCCTACCTGGTCATGGTGTATAATTTTTTAAATGTGCTGTTAGATTCAGTTTGTTAGTATCTTACTGAGGCTCTTCCCATCTGTATTCATCAGGGATATTGGTCTGTAGTTTTCTGTTTTGTTATGTCCTTGTCTGCATCAAAGTGATGGAGATGTCATAGAGTGATTTTGGAAAGTTTTCTTCCTCTTAAATATTTAGAAATATTAATAGTTTGTGAAGAATTGAGATAAATCTTTAAAAGTGTTGTAAAATTTAGAAGTGAAGTCATTTGAACCTGGGAGTTTCTTCACTGGTAGACTATTTCCTACTGATTCAATCTCTTGGCTTGTTATTGGTCTATTCAGGCTTTCTATTTCTCCCTCGTTCAATCTTGGTAAAAAGTAGGTGTCCAAAAATGTGTCCATCTTCTCTAAATTATCTTATTTGTTGGCATAAAGTCAATTTAATGTTCTCTCATGATTTTTTGTATTTCTGATATATTTGTTGTAATATTATCTGTATTATTATTAATTTTATTTAGCTGGTTTCTTTCTCTGTTTTTCTTCATTAGTCTAGCTAAGGGTTTATCAATTTTGCTTATCCTTTCAAAAAGTCATCTTTTTGTTTTGTTGAGTTTTGTGTAGTTCTTTTATTCTCTATTTCATTTATTTCAGCTCTAGTCTTCATTATTTCTTTTATTCCATTGTTGATGCTTGTCCAATTCCTTGACGTATGTTGTTAGTTTATTAATTGCTATAAACTTCTTTCTTATGGTTGCTTTCATTGTGTCCCAAAGATTACAGAGAGTTGATTCATTATTGCTGGTTCCAATAAATCTTATGTTTTCAGTCTTAATTTCTCCAATAGTTTTGAAGTTGTTCAGGAGCAGGTTGTTTAGTTTCCACATTTTTGTGTATTTTTGAAGGCTTTCTGTCATTAATTTCCAGCTTAATTCCATTGTGGTTGGAGAAGGTGCTAGATGTAATTTCTATTCTTTAAACTTTTTAGAGGGTTTTGTTTGTGTGCTTCATTTAGTGGTCAACCTTCAAAATGTTCCATGTGGGGATTGGAAAAATACGTATTTGAAGCGTGGTTGTTGGGTGAAATGTTCTATAAATGTCTGTGAGGTCCATTTGGTTTATGGTATCAATTAGATCCTGTCTCTTTGTTTATTTTTTGCCTAGATGACCTGTCCAGTGGTGACAGTTGGGTGTTGAGATCTCCAAAAATTATTGTGTTGCATTCTATTTCTCCCTTTAGATCTAGCAGTCTTTCTCTTACATGTTTGAATGCCCTGATATTGGGTATGTAAATATTTATAATTGTTACAACTTCTTAGTAAATTGCTTCCTTTAGTATTATGTCATTATCTCCCTTATCTTTCTGTCTTTTTACTTTTAGAGAGGTTTTTGCTATAGGGGGCATGCGTGAGCTGGAGAGACAGACCCAGAGACAGAAAGTGAAAAATCACTCCCTAGGGAGGATGGCAGTCTGCAGTCCCTTCTTCATTCTCCTCTGTGCATTTTGGCATACATGTATTTGCATTGGGCATGAATTTCAACCTCCTGGTCCAGGGCTTGAAGTGTGGTCATCTATGTGGGGGTCCAGTGATGTAACCATTATGCTGTCTACTGGTCCCTTCTTTATCTCTTTTTTTTTTTTTTTTACCATTTTTATCTTGAAGTCTATTTTGTCTCATATTAGTAATATTACTCTGGCCCCTTTTTTGCTTTCAGCCCTTCATTTCAGTCTGTGTATATCTTTGTCAATGAGGTGTGTTTCTTGTAAGCAACATATAAAAGGTTTCTGTTTTTATTATCCATTCAGCAAGTCTGTGTCTTTTAATTGAGGAATTTAGTTCATTAACATTAAACATTGTTATAGATATGTGCAGACTTATTACTTCATTTTGTTAGTCCTTTTTTGTTGTTGTTGTTAGTTGTAGTCTCATATTTCTATTTATCTCACTTTTGTTTTCCTGATGTAATGTTCCCTTAAGTATTTCCTGAAGAACTGGTCTAGTGTTCTTTCAGCTTTTGTTTATCTGGGAATGATTTTGTTTCTGGTTTTTAACTTGAAAGATAGTCTTGCCAGGCATAGTATTCCTGTCTAAAATTTTTTCTTTCAGAGTTTTAAATACACCTTTCCATTCTTTCTTTGCCTACATTGTTTCAGTTGAGAGGTCTAATGCTAGTCTAATGAGATAGCCTTTGTCAGTAACTTGGAATTTCTGGTTTGCCATTTTTAGAATCTTGTCCTAGGCATTTACCAATTTGGCAATGATGTACCTTGGAGATTATGTTATGTTGAATCTATTTGGTATTCTTTGTATTTCCTGGATCTGGATGTCTGTATGTTTGTCAAAATTTTGAAAGTTTTTTTTTTTTTTTTGGGGGGGTTTTTCATTTTTGTGCTCGCCAGACAGACAGAGAGAGACATAGAGACAGAAAGCGAGAAATCACCCCCCGGGGGGGTCGTCACGCCGCAATCCCTTTTCCTCCATTCGCCTCGCGGGATCTTGGGCACGCACGCACATGCGCCCCGTGTGAGTTTTAAGCCACCGGATCCGGGACACGAACCGCGGTCGACTACGTGGGAGTCCAGCGACATAGTCATTATGCTAACTGCTGGTTCCCAAAATTTTAAAAGTTTTGAGATAATATTTCATAAAAGAGAGTTTGTATGTTTTTACTCATCTCTTCATTTTCTGGAATAGCCATCATATGGATATTTGGTGGTAAATGGTATCTAGAATTTCCCATATGTGGTCTTCATTTTTTTCCCTTGCTTTCTTTTTAAAATTTTTTTTTATTTTTAGGTTTTTCCATAGGGTGCATGTGCTCACCAGAGAGAGACAGAGAGAGGGAAAGTGAGAAATCACCCAAGAGGGAAGAGTGGCTATGCCACAATCCCTTCTCCTCCATTCTCCTCTGGGGATTTTGGATATACAGGTACATGTCCTCTGGGTAATTTTCAAGTCTCTGGGTCTGAAACTTGAACCATGGTCAGACATGTGGCAGTCTGTTGTCTTAATCACCATACCATCTGCTATCCTTTAGTTGTCCTCAATTTTTTTTCTTTTAGGTTTTTGCCATAAGGCATAGTAAGTGTGCTCATTGGAGAGAGGCAGACAGAAAGTGAGGAATCACCCCCTGGGAGGATGGCCATGCCACAATCTCTCCTCTTTCCTCCTCCTCTCAGGATTTTGGGCATGCACACACATATGCCTGGTGTGATTTTCAACTTCCTGGATCCTGGACTAGAACCATGGTTAGCCATGTGTGCCTTTCCCAGCATGCCAACTGCTGGCCCTGACTTGTCCTCATTTTAATGATTATTTTTCCATTCTTTTTGGTGACTTGGACTCAATTGAAATTTCATCTTCAAGGTCAAAAATTCTTTCTCCTGCATGGTCTCATCTGCTGTTAATACTTTCAAGGGAGGTTTTGATTTTCTGTATTGTGCTCTTTATTTTCAGAAGTTCTGGTTTTTTAGGGTAGCTTTCTGTTTATGGAATTCCTCCTTCAAGTTGTGGAATAATTTTCTCATCTCCTGGAATGGCTTGTCTACTTTCTCTTTTATCTCACTGATTTTCATTACAATGAATATTTTGAATTCTTTTTATGATATTTCTGTGATTTCCTGTGTTTTATCCATTGTCGGTGAATAGTTATTATGTTCCTTTTGGGGGGAGATATTTTCTGGTTTTCTCTTATTTCTTGTGATTGTGCTTTGATTTTTAGGTGTATACTAAAATACTTCTTTCTAACTTTTTGGAGAAGATTTCTGAAGCTGTACGCTTGTGCACTTCTTTATGGTATGTGTTAGCTCTTTGCTAGCTTGGCTAGTCTTCCATGGGTTGAGGCACTGGAGTCTCCCTGGTGTGAGTTTTAGGACTCAGATTTTCCAAGGAAATTTCTCTCCTTTTCCTTTAGATGGGAGTTGGGAGAAATCCTTTAGAGCCTCTCTGGCTTCATGCAGTTGGTATTTCTCTATTTTTGCAATCATAACCCATGCAAATCAGAGGTTCCTGCCTCCTGATGGTCTCTTCTGACTTCTTTCTTTGTGGGCGCTGCTTGCAGGTTGTGGACACAACCCAGGTACTTGTGGGTTACAGGGGCAGTGGTGGTTTGCTTTTCCCTTTTTTGATCTTTCTCTCAATCACTGACTGTATTCTCCTGATTTAGCCCAACATCTCCAGTACTGATATGGCTAGGGGCTGAACTGAAGAGGCAGAACAAAAGGTACTAGCATGTAGTGTAGTGCATGCTGCATAGCAAATTGTGCATGGGCCAGAGAGTGACCCTTCTTCCCTCTGGCAAGGCGGGCAAGGCAAGCAGTGAGCTCCATGCAGATGGATTGCAGCTGCTTTCTTCCTCTCTCTGGTGGAGTAGGTTAATATAGGGGATTTGAATTAGAAACAAAATAGTTCAACTTCAACAGGTCTGTAAACTGGAATTTAACAGGTTGCATTTTAGATATCAGGTGTTCTGTATATTGTTTTATAGCCTAGCAAGAACAATTTGCCAGTGCTTATCCTAGATTTTAATGTGGTAAATTTTTCTCATTTTTATTCTATACTGTAAACCTAGAATATCAGGAGGTATTGAATTACTTTATGGGTGATAAAAGTATTATTTCCTAGGGTTATTGTGAATATTAAATGAGATAATACATTCTTAAAACAGTATCTTCCACATAATAAGAAACACTTAAAAACTGTTCGCCCACAAATAACACTAGCTCTAGGGAATACATACTGTTGGGATCCTGATGAAGTACTCGTGTCAGAGTGAAGATGATTTTTGCATTGCAGATTAGTGTGATGAGAAGAGGGATGATGAAGAGGCAGCTGAAGGTGAAAAAGTTATAAAAGGCTTGATGCCACCATTGTGGAAAACTGCAGTGAGTTACACATTGAGAGAAAACTTCTGTTTGTCCAGAGCTGTCTGCTAGATGGATCATCCTGAAGATGTATAACTGTATGAGAAAAAAAAGTTACTTTTTTTTTAAATAGTACTTGAAAATTTTCTCCCTGTATTCTGCTAGCCTTCTAACATATTATTGTCTAAAGCAATTTCTAAGCTCCTTGTCATTATCCTTTTGGCATTTCTACAAAAAAATTATAAGTAGATATTTACTTAAAATATGTTTGAGTAAATAAGAATAGATTTTTAGGATTTGGGGTTTTTTTTTTAATTATTTGAACTATGTAGAACAATCATCATTCAAGGATTTAAACTTTGTCTATACTTTCAATTTCAGGTAAAATTATGCCGAGTGAACTTTTTGCAAGTTATTTTCTTTATAGTTATATCCATAGTACCTGAAACTGTGTTAGACACTTAGAATGGACCACAGAAAACATGTATTTAAATTTTATTTTAGAGACAGAAAACCACACTAAAATGATATTATTTTTAAAAATAAAGGACATGAATTACACAAAGGAATGCAGTTCACAAAAAGATGTAAAATCTGTCTTTAAACATGGACCATTTGTGATAAGAAAAATGCCAATTAAAGCTATATTGAAATGCTATTTTAAATTATGAAGATCAGTAAAACTTAAAAAGTACAATACCACACTCTATTGACAAGACTGTTGAGAAACTAGCACTCATACATTGATAGTGCAAGGCAGATTGTTATAACTATTTTGGGAAAGGAATTGGGTAATAGTTTGCATGACTGCACGTGTGTTTACCTGTAATCCAGACATCCCATATTCAGGAGTTTATCCTTAAGATATATCCATTCTCCATTATATAAAAATACGTATGTACAAAGTATCATTGATATATCATTTGTAATTGGAAAATGTTGAAATATCAATTCCTAAGTCAGCTAAATAAACTATGAGCACATTAGCAATTAGCACATCTAATATCCTCATGTTCAAATCCTGGTTTCTAAATACTGTTATGTACTAAAGGAACAGAGCACATTGGTGAAGTGAGTGATTCTAAGGATGGGGAAGGCAAAGTGCAATGTGCTTGACCAGCTTGTGCCAAAACATCAGGAAGTGCTCAAAGAATGACAGAACATGTCAAAAGGCCCCAAGAACCATCTCAAAGAGCTCTTATTGGATAAATCTGCAAATTTAAGCTTCAAAAATACAAAAAATTGATAAAAAAGAATGATAAACTACTGAATAAAATAAGAATCCATAAGTCCATGCTAATATAAATGACAAAATAACAACAAATCAATGGAGAGAGGAAAAAATCTCTCTTACCATAAATAGCAGTAAATGTGAAAGGAATAATAAAATTTGGTGTTCACTAAGTGATTCAGGCAAAAGTCATCAATAGATGATAAAAATAATAGATGATACTTACAAAATTTCAAAGTACTTACTGGCAGGATAGTTATTTATTATAAAGAGTAAAATGGTAACTTTACAGAAGAGAAATAGGCAAATATTAAATTAACATTGCCAACAATGGGACCAATTGACATCATACTCTTTCTTATATAATGCTTTGAGAAGAACTCAGCTTCACTTTTTTGGTAGTTCTGCTTAAGGTGTATAACCTGATCTAACCATGAGAAAACAGATAAACCCAAATTGAGGGACATTCTAAAATGTGATTAGACTGTATTCTTCAAAAAATGTTAATGTCGGGACCAGCAGTTAGTGTAATGGCTATGTCGCTGGACTCCCATGTAGGCGACCGCGGTTTGCGCCCCGGATCCGGTGGCTTAAAACGCACGCCAGACCCATGTGCGTATGTGCCCAAGATCCCGAGAGGAGAACGGAGGAGAAGGGATTGCGGCATGGCCATCCCCCCCGGGTGGTGATTTCTCGCTTTCTGTCTCTCTGTCTCTCTCTGTCTGTCTGGCAAGCGCACGCACCCTATAGCAAAAACCTCTCAAAAAAAAAATGTTAATGTCATGAAACACAAAGGAAGACTGAGGAATGATTCCAGCTAAAAGAATAAAAACACATGCAACTGAATCTACCAAAATAATCTTGCATTTTCTTGTTAGAAGGGCAAAAATTGAGTACATAATCTCATTAATACTGAGAGCAAATAGGGATTGCAGTTAGTATGTGTTGGCAACGACCCCACCCCTGCCTTGGAGTTGGCAGAGAGAATAAGCATTAGGGGAATGTTTAAAAGAGTTGTTTGGCTAAGAGGTCTTTATTTCACTTATGTCCTTTTCCAAGTGCTTGACAAGACTACAAAGTCTCCATCCATAAAGGAAAGTTAACAATAGGTTTGGCCCCATGGCCTGATGTTTTAGGGAGTTGGACCTCACATGGCTGACCACAGTTCAAATCTTGTCCCCTGTGCTTGAAGAACATGCCCGGCACATGTCTATGCATGCCCTAAATCCCTACAGAATGTGAAATGGAGAAGAGATTGCAGTATGACCATGCCCCTTTGGGGGATGCTTTCTCCCTCTCCCTCTCCCCCTCCTTCCTCTCTTGCTACACATGCCATCTGGCATAAATAAATAAAAAATAAATAAGAAAAAGAAAGGAAGCTCATAATGTAAATAAAAGAAAACAAAGGCCCGTATGTGTGTGCATGCACGTGTGTGTGTGTTTAAATTTGTACAGAGTATATACACTCATTGGAGACAGGAGAGAGGGAAAATGATAAAGCACCCTCCCAAATACATCACCCCCACCAAGGGGAATGGCCACACCACAATCCCTTCTCTTCCATTCGCTGCTTGCCGTAGGGCGCATGAGCTCGCCAGACAGAGAGAGATAGACAGAAAGCGAGAAATCACCCCCTGGGGGATGGCCATGCCACAGCCCCTTCTCCTCCATTCTCCTCTCGGGATCTTGGGCATGCACGCACACCGCCCGGCGTGAGTTTTAAGCCACTGGGTCCGGGATGCAAACTGCGGTCGACTACATGGGAGTTCAGCGACATAGTCATCACTGCTGGTCCCTGTTCCATTCGCTTCTTCAGATTTTGGGCACACTCACCACATGTGCCTGGTGTGTTTTTCAAGTTGCCATTTCCAGGGCTTGAACCCCTGTAGGGCACATGTGTATGTGTATGACCTAAATCCTGAAAAGATGAAAAAATGGAGCAGAAGAAATTGCAGCATGACTATACCTCATCAGAGGGATGCTTTCTCTCTCTCTCTCTCTCTCTCTCTCTCTTGCAAGTGCACATGACCCTTGCAGATAAAGAAATGTGTACATGAGAAGAATAAAGCAAATAAGCAAATATAGTAAAATGTTAATATTTGGACAAATCTGGGTGAAAGGTATCCAAAAAAACCTTTGTATGATTCTTGCAACACTCCTGAGTGTAAAATTATGTGGGGGAAGGACTTTTAAAACTACAAATTGAGGGACTGGCGGGTGGCATGGTGGTTGAGGGTGCTGGACTCCCATATGGCCAACTGTGGTTCTAGGCCCAGACTTGGCAACTTGCTTTCTCACTTTCTTTCTCTCTCTCCTACTCTGGTCAAATTAAAAAAAAAAAAAAAAAAGATAAAAAATACAAATTGGATCAACTTAAATAAATGTTGCAAGTAGTTTTCTAAAATAAAAATAAATACTAGCCGACATTTCTCCATATTTTCCCCATTCATCAAGCACACTTCTTATCTAGTTATTTCCAAGCCTTTCTACTGAGATTAGTTTACTGTGAAATGTTAAAATGGCAAGATAAGAGAGTTCAATTATTTTTTATAACCTATTACAAATAAATTCAAACAAAAATGTTACAGGATTTTTTATGCTAAGAAAATTAGGGATAATAATTATAGTTTTGTTTTTGAGTTTTTGACTGAGTTAATTTTATTGAATAGATCCAGAGGCTCTTTCCTTTCTGGGTTGATGGGTATGGGAGTGGAATATGTCACTCTCATAAAAAAAATAAATAAATAAAAATAATTTCCATAAATATTTCATTTCTTTGTTTTTAGAGTAGAAAAAACATTCCTATGCCTTATATTGTAATTAAAAGTTGATTCTTGTTTTCAGATAATTTTCAAGAGAAAAATAATTTTTAAATTAATCCACTAGATGGCATCTAATGATCATATTATTAATATTTAGTCAAGAAACCTAAGTATGTTCAGCTAATTTTATCAACTTTTTCAACACATTCCAAAGTGACCCTTTCCATTTTTCATACTTCTTTGCTACCTGACCTTATTTAAAGTTTAATTTTGAATTAGACCCCACAGATGTAAGTTGAAGACTGAAGAGTTACTTTGCCTAGAATTTGAGAGTCTTCTATTTCTTTAAATCTCTTTCCTCCACACCTCCCTAGTTGTACTTGGAGCCAGATGACTTGAGTTTGACTTTGTGCTCTGCCCTTGGGCCACATTTTCACTTAATATTTCATGTTTGTTTTGTTTTAATTTGCTATAGGGTGTGTGCCCTCACTTGAGAATGACAGACAGAGTGACAAAGTGAGAAAGCATACCCCACCACCCTTCTCCCTGCCACCACATTCCTTTCTCCTCCACTCTCCTTTTGGGATTTTGGGCACACATGTACATGTGCCTAGAGTGTTCCTTAAGCAAAAGGTCTGGGACTCAAACCTTGCAGTTGGCCATGTGGGATCCAGTTGCCTTCACTACTATGCCAACTGGGTTGGCCCAATATTTCAAGTTCTAAAGCTGAAATGACAAAATTCTCAATAGCAGTGATTTTGAAACATAGTATTATGATTTGAATGATTGATATCTTTATTTAACCAATGTTTATTAATATTTTTAAGCAATTTCTTGGGAAAAATAACTATATCAGATGCCCTCTGTCATAAAAGATGAACAAGGCATATCCTTCTATCAGGTAGTTTTATATTTAGTAGTGGAGATTGTAGTGTCAGCTTTAATATGCGATAGACTGGTAAGTTTTAGAGGAGAAGTATAGTAAAGTGTTTGGAAATTTCAAAATCCTGGGTCTGGCAAATGGCATGGTAGTTAGGGAGGCTGGACTCCCACATGGCTGACTGTGGTTTAATCCTGGACCTGGTGGCTTGCCTTCTTACTTT